CAAAACTTGCTCACTGGATTCCAATTTTCCGCTCCATTCCAAGCGCTTCTGATACTCATCCATGAGCTTCGACCGAACCAACTGCAGCGTTATATCCTTATCCGGGTGCGCCTCTAGAGCAGATGCCAAGATATGATACGATTCTGGCATGCTCCTCAACACCATGGCAATCTTCAGCTTCTCCACTAGTTCCAATCCGGTATTCGTCAAGCGCTCGAACAACTTGTCCAGCTCCAGCAGATGTTTCTCAACGTCTCCAGACTCACCTACCTTTGCATCACAGAGCCGATTCAGAAGAGACAGCTGGGACGTTGTTGTTGACTTCTCGTGGTATGCTTTCAAAGCATCCCACACCGCCTTCGCACTATCGCAATCCTTGATTAGCACATATTGGCTCTCCTCGATGCAGAGTCCCAGAGTGGCACGGGCTTTTCTGTCCGCTTTCCGCCAAGCATCAGTTACAGGCTCCGGTTTGGCATCCGCCACGCAGTGCTGAGATTTGTCATTGTCATTGACAGACTTTCGCGCGATATTGACTAAATTGTTCGTCACATAGTCACTGACAGACTTGATCCTCAAAAAAAACCTTCGTCAAAATCTCATTCATTTTTTCGTCAATGACAAAGATTCACCTGGTAACAAAAAGTGCAATTTAGTACATTCTGTGTCACATTATTGTTATCCAAGTAGCTCAGGACGTAGATACTTGTTCACTAAAATGGATTCATGTAATTGTTTTGCTCAAGTCATTTAATTTTGTTACAAATTTAGCTAATAAACAAATCTGCACATGTTCGTCACTGACACCATTGTCATTGACAATTGACATGGTTTGCCTTGAATATGACTGTTAGCTAAAATGAGTGACCAAAGCAGAATTGTCAATATCATCGTGTGCTGTCGAGATTTTGCAGCACTGCCGCCACGACTTGCCAAAGCTCCTCCCGGATCATAAACATCTCCGTTTGGAACTTCCAACTACACGGTAAGAAAAAATACTCAAAATTAAGTTAAAAAAAACTCAACGTTGGGTTCTATCATTTGAGGTCCGCCGTTGAGTGAATCAGAAAAGCGGCGTTGGTTAAAATTTACTCAACTATTGAGTAATAATAAATGAACTCAAATTTAAGTTTATTTTCATTGAGGTTGCTTTTATGCGCCTTTAACCATTTCATTTTCACAAGCGTTGATAGACGAGTGGTCAACACCAGGCCCCGTAATCTCAACGTCCATAGTTCGGTTCAAGTCTGCTCCGTATTATTATTTTTTTGTCAACTTAGTCAACGCCAGGATTACTCAAAATTGAGTTTTCTTCTTTAACTTAATTTTACCTAGCCCCACGGAAGCCACGTGATGAGTGAAAGGAACTCAATTTTGGGTACTTTTTTCTTACCGTGTAGCGTAGTTGTTGTTCCCGTGCTTGGCAATCGCAAATTTGTCCGGATCTGACATCTTGCTCACGACCGGCAATGTTTTCATTGGCACCTTGCACGAACAAAACAATCAGCCGAATCGCTGACCGCAAAAAACACCGCGAACGAAACTAACCAAATTTCAGCTAATTTCACCGCTAATCGACCGAATTCCGCGATTCTCGACTGGGCCCATAACCTGTGGGCAGGATTAGCCCACACAGAGTTCAATTTAAGCACAGGGAATTCGTCACCGCGTAAGAAATAACGTGAAATATATTTTTACTGATTACGATGAACAACGTGTTATTTATTGCGACGTTAGAAAAACAAGACAAGTTAATGCAAAAGGTAGTACACTTTCTCTTCGCTGTTTTGACAGCTTCAGTTCAGTGGCTCAGCGCCCCTGTGGTAACTTTATACGCTCAACAGAGTGGAGGTGCCGACTCCCTGTTTTTGGCGTTTCGTGAGGGGAGGGCAGTCACTTCTCCCCACTCACGTCCCGCTGTTGGGTGACCTGTTTTCTGGCCGGTTGTGTGATCCTGTTGTTGGAGGGAGAATCTCGTTTGTCTCAGAGATGCGCGTGGGTGATGTTGCCTTCGGATTCACCCAAATCGTTTTTGGCCTTTCATGCAGTGGCTGGTGGAGTGCAATTGGAGGTTGTCGGACTTGAGGTCAAGCGGTGAGGATGGTCCACAGTCTGTGGTCGGTGGTCTTGCTACAGTGAGTGTTAATTCCATGTCATTTAATTCCAAAACAACAGAGTTAATCATCAGATAAAAAAAATAACATTTAGTTTTACTGTGGGCTTGAAGTTCGCATAAAATTTACCACCTGTTTGTCTTATTTGATGCATTGTGTTACTATATTGCGACACCTTATTTTATGTTTATATATATAGTAGTTGTTATCATTTATTACATTTGTTTTAGACATGCTTGCACATTTCAGGTAATTTATTCTCATTAATGATACGATAATTATTTGTTTGGCTCAATTGCTACGTATTTTAATTGTTTTATAACAGTACTGGTTTTTAGAAGAAGTAGTCAATATTTTTTATATATTATCACAATCTCAAACGCTAGTAATTTTCAACGCCAAAGCTGATGATCGACGAAAGCATTGGCCATTTAGAAGCTAGTTGCTTCAAAAGAGTATTCAACATTGGAATCATCAAAGCAATAATATTCCACATGGAGTCAGACACATTCAATATTTCGAGCATGCCATCTACAATTCCAGAAAACGTGAATATGGCTGCATATTGTCCTGGCTGTGGAACTGCATGGAATATCCGCAGCCTTGGAAGTAGCTGGAAGCCACGGAATGTCACTATCAACATCAAATGGTTTGAAACCCGGTGGAGTGGCTTTCAGAACATTACCGCTACTTCCTGGTATCTTCAAGATAACTCGAGGTTCAATACGAGAGGCCTCCTGAGGCTGATGCGTGATAATTTTGGATCGCTTCCTAGGTGGGGCTTTGTAAACGAAATGACTTCCCTCGCCAACATTAGGGTCAGAGCCCTGATCATCAACCAAGAGAAGGTCGAAGGGGTTACTACACGAAGGAACTCGGGAAGATGGAGTAACTGATCTGCGCGCGAGCATTCAAAGACCGCTGGAGTTTTTCTCCCTGCTATTTGTATCTTGGACAATCAGTGAGAGCATGCGGAATTTCCAAACAATAAGGACATTTTGAGGAGGCACAAAAATAACTCTCCGTATGTTTCGCCCCACATTGATCACAGCGTGGCTTGTTACCACAGAAAGCCGCAGTGTGCCCTAGTCGCTTTCATTTTGTGTAGTTTTTTGGTGCAAACAAGCGCACAGGTAACGAGTCCGAAAGCGAGTAAGTTTTCTTCGTTCCAGCGAGGGACTAGCATTTTAATTTTCGGGAGGTGAGGGTTCTTGAAGACACCAACCCCGCCTTTCTGGAAATCATCGCGAGTTATACTCGCTTCGGTAACAACTCCCTCGATTTCAACTTCTTTACTTGGCATATACACTCGATATTCTAACAAAAAAGCACAAATAAAACAATTTTGTTTGCCTGCACACGATCGCTAACGGTAACACGTAGTTTATTTGGTCTTACTTTCAAAATCTCGGTCACGGCCGAAAAATGTTTAATCAAATCCTTTGAAATCTGATGAACATTCAAAGCTTTTTGTTTGCGTTAGAAGAAGACAACCCACGGGCCTTTCGAGTCTTCTGGATAAGCCTTAGAGCGGGGTACACGTGATGTTCTCGGAAGAACGGGTGGAGCAGGGGGAAATGGAGGAGCTGGTGGAGAAGGTGGCTGTGGAGATCGTTTAACCTTTGGATACGCTCCGGTGTACTTAGTGGTGGCTGACCCATCACCACCAGAGGTATTCATCGCCTCAGAAGATGGCCAATCCAGCAGAGAATCATCGTTGGAGAGTGAGATCTCCCCCCCCCCCCCATCATCCAAAACATCCATTGCGGGTACTCACGTCCCACCGCAACAACAGCACCGACAAATCTTCACCTCACCCCACCCTCACAAAGTGACATGAAATCCATTTTGTTTTCGTTCGACTCCAGCCGCACAATCACATAATATGATAAACTTCATATCACTTTATTTCTCGCGGTTGGCATGCTTATCACCGATCAGCCAAAGACCAAGCTCAAACTAGGGCATTTTTTTCCATTTCCCCTTTAAAACACTCCGTGCACAAAAGCGATGCTCATCGCAAAAACCCAACAATAGATCAGCGCGGTCGAGTCACACCGGCAACAAAGGGAAGCGAGAGCACACCAAGCACCCAAACAACGCTGCACAAATCAAATCATTGCGCCCGGGACACAAAACCAATCAAATGCGAGCACCGGAAAGCTCGACCTCAGCACAAAGACAGGCCGGACTCAAAAAAATAAAACAAAATAAAGGCACGCAGCGGAACAAAAACACAACCGTTCTCGAATGATACTCAAAGTGCACTCTCCTCCCACTAAGTGGTTTTAATCGATTACACGGAAAAATGGTATATTATGAGTTGTGAAACCGACAAGCTAATTTGCCAACGACCACAATCTTCTATCTAATTGAGATGTTAATTTAAATCAAACAATAGGTAGCCAAATGGCACTCTTGGCCGCTTCACTGAACTGTCCTCCATTTAATAATCTTTGTCCATCTGAACATCTTTGCTGGTATCCTTCCAATTGTTGGTAATTTCGATATTGGAACAAGTCATCAAAATCGACCTTCAATAGCGTCTGACGGTGTGTCGAGTGTTCTCCGTAACATCCGCAGACGAGCTGACACAAAACATACTGTTACGCTACGAGCGAGCACGTGATTGGTTGATTACTGCTAAAAAGTTTGATCAATATTCAATAGTTAACGATTATCTTTATACTAAACCAATCTTACATTCAATCTGAATTAAATGGTGTATTTAAATTTGAAATACTTCAATAAATGACCCTGTTATAAGCGTTGAAAACCTGACACTATTTCGTCGCACATTTTTTTTTATTTGATCCCCTCCATAGTCCACAAAGACGTAGTCCTGCACCATCCAAAGTATGAATGCCTTTTTTGGGGTTTAAGAAATTGCATTCATCGACTTTAAGCACTTCCAATCAATGCACATAGCGCTTTCTTGTAATCGCCAGAAGTTTCGCTCTGAAAAGATAAATATGCAAACATATGGTTAGTATTGATCTGCTAATTGATCCCCGTGAAATTGTTATTACCGTAACTGCACTCAAAAGTGTTTTATTATACATTTTTTCGTACTCGACCTTGATGTCCTGCAAGTCAATTTCCGATCGCGACACGATAATCCGAATCAGCGTGGTATCGTCCGTACCCAATCCGTCCATGGCTTTGAACAATCGCGTCGCGAAGAAATGTGTTGGCATCTGGACGCATTCGACTATCGCACTGAGAGCATTATACAGGTCACCGCTCAACTCGGCCTTTAAGGCCTGTTCGATGGTGCGTCCGGTCATCTTCTTGTACTCATCGAACACACATTTCAGCTGGTCGAAACTCGAGTGGGCCATAATCTTGGGGAAAACGGACTCATCAGTGCCCCATTTTCCCTCACCGGCTTCGTACAGCTGTTTGGCTTGCTGTACGGCAAGATCTGGATCTACGGTTCCTGGAGGGTTGCGTGTACCGGTAATAATTAGTGTGAGCAGCCGACGGAAATCACCGGATGTTTCCGTACAAACATGCTCCGCCAGTGGACGATTGAACATATCCTCATAGACTCGTGCAATGTGATGCATTTGTTCGTTGTTTTGCGAGCAGAGAATCTCGATAAGGGCACGCTCGTTGGTACCGATGCCATCCATGGCTTTGAACAGCTGCTTGCAGAGATAGTTCACCGGCGGTAACATCAGACCGAGGATTACATCCTCGAACTTACCGCCCAGTTCCGATTTCAGATCCTTGATCAGATCTCGACCCAGTTCGTTTTTGAACGTTTCGGCGATGACCTGACGTTGCTTGTTGCATCGCGAGCAGAGGATGTCGATAATGACTTGCTCGTCCGTTCCAAAGCCCTTCATGGCCTTGCGAAGTGCGGCCGCATCTGCCGATGGATTGAAATTTTCGGCTGGGGAAACGGTGGGTTTCGCCTGGAGGGATTTGGAGAAAAATTGTTGATTAGTTTTAAGTTTTTCAGCATGAAAATAATCAGTTTCTGATACAAATAACTAGAATAGACTTGTTCGAAATGTTTTTTTTTTTACTTAGGACTACGTCTTTAATTTCTATCCCAAACACAGACGCACGATAAAGCGCAAATCGAACAAACGACATATTGTGCATGCTCACATGAGCGAACTCAATGCTCGGTTGATCGCTCACCATTTCACCAATGAAAAGAAGGGAGGAGCAAAGCAACGATAATAAAAACGCTTGCCAAATCATTTTCTTCGTCATTTGCTTTCGAGCAACGGACGGATAAGTGTCAGACACGACCACAAACGAAGTGACAGACGACTAACTGGCGAAGAAATCCATTAAAATAATGTGGTTCACTGTAATAGAATTTTCTTGGAAGCTTGTGCCATCATCCACCAGATGGGTTAGTTTTTTTGTTTTGATTTGAACAAAGTTGATTTTGTGTACAATGATTCTTTGACAGTGTGCAGGAAAACGCTCCCCGCCATCGTGGAGAGTTGTTGTTATTCACATCGTCGTGATTGTGCGCTGCTAAAATTGTCGATTTTTTATCACACGGGCTATCGTTATTCGTTTTTTCCGTTCGGTACACCTGTAATATTGTACTGGTTGTTAGTGGAAAGTGCAGTTCGTTGCGATAATCATCTAATTAGAGCATATTTTGTGTTGTGAAAACAGTGAAAAAATATCCAATCAGACATATTGTCTAGCATTGGGCGATCTTGAGAATCCAATTCCTCCTTGCGTATTAGAGCATCTCCACCGCTGTTTCTAAATCACTTTTGGAAACTGAGTCAGCATGACTTTCGCCTGTGACCAATGCGCTAAACCAGTAAAAGTCGATGAAGAATCCGTCTCCTGCATGGCTTTTTTGCGACAGGATGATTCACCTAAAGTGCGGGTGCAGTTTCGAACGCCTTTGGATACGGTTGTGTTTTAAGTTTGTTCTCTGTTTTGTGCGTGCGTTCGCTCTCATAGTTTTCGGCTGCAATTGCCGGATTATCGCTGGCGCTCTACCTCCCGGACGTTTATACGTGTGTGATTGGTAGTTTTCTCGCTTTCTATCTGCGTTGTTTGATTTTCTCCCGGACCAGAAATTAGTGGCATCGCGAGTGATAATTTTTAATTTCAGTTTATTTACGCACTGCAAGGTGCGTGAAAGAGCTCGGCATATTCGGTGTTGATGTTGGCTCGCTTGTAACTTTTTTGGTTGTGTTTTCGAAAGAAATTGATCGAAAGTGTACCAAAAGTGCTTCTGAACGTGTTTCGCGGTTGGGAGTGAAATTCGTAAATTCGCGGTTTATGTTCAGTGAAAATTCCGTACCACAAAATTGCTCACCTTGCACTCTTTTTTTTTTGCCGTTCGACGACGACGGACATGCGAGAGAAAAATAAACATCGGGAATGTGCTCCCGGATGTATTGATTTGGTGAGTACGTTCCAGTTGAAGATTGTTCTTATACATATCTCGATTGCATTTTCGAGGGGACGTCCGGAGAGCTTTGAGATTTAGGCGTTGTTGCTTTTGCGGGCAGACGAGTTGGTCGCCGGTAAGGGCCAGTAAGTGCTGCCAGCAGATGAATCAAGAGGTATTCGAAACAAAATTGGTAAGAAATGTCCATTCAAATCGATTTAATACAGTTGAACAAATTTCAAAACTATATACGTGCCAGATTTGGAAATAATATTTTTTGAATCTGGAAGTGTGTTTATGATACCATTATCCATTTGATAAAGGTAGAGTGAACATGCGGGGCTTATTGTAAGTAAAAGTGACCTCGGAGTGGTCGTGAATTACCAGGCATTCTGAAATGGGTCACTGGAGCTGCAATAGAGCTAACACCTTCTAACTCCCGGACTAAACCTGCTTTAATTTAAGGGTAATAAAAAGCAGTTTTCTTCCATAATAACACTGCCGGACAGTGGGGGTTAGATTGTACACACACACACACACACACAATCATTCTTTGACAGTGTGCAAAGAGTGCGTATCATTTTGTCATTTTTTATGCATTTCAGTTTTGAGTAGAGTGAAAGAGATAGAACCAAAACATTCTAGTACATTTGGTGAAAATGCTAGTTCAATCTAGTAGTAGTGTTGCCATGTGGTACAATCCAGTAGTAGTGGTGTTGCCATGTGGTACACTGAAAAATTGCAATAGCAGGTTAGTCACCAAAGTTTTCATGCCGCTCCGTCTGTCACTTCGTTTGTGGACACGACGTATGAGTGGAACAGCACGCATCGCACCAATACGAAGACGACGCCACATTATTTCCATTTTCAATCTGTATTTTCATCGTAAAAATCTTTTTAATATGTTTCTGGCTGACAAAAATCTGTATAAATTCTATAGTATGATCTTATTGCGGATCGTCGTAAATATACTTTGAGTTTATTTGAAGTTCAGAAATAGTTTGTCTTGAATAGTCTTGAAAAATGACTTAAGGTGAAAGTGGATCGGTTAAGATTTAAAAAAAAAATAACGCAACTCTCAATCAAAAAAACTCTTCCGTGCAAAATTAAAGAACTAACATTTCTATCTCTAGCCATTTTTACAAGATTGATTTATTATTTAAATTTTCAGAAAACCATTTTCTTAGTTCAATTTTAGGTCCACAATCATAGTGGTCGCTAACTTTGCTCATCAATTACACAAGTATTTCGTATGAAAGGTAATGTTTCACTCCCGTAGATCGTTTCAAAATATTGTTAGTAAAATTTTCTCCGAAGACAACATACCTGTAAAATGCACTTTTCAATGTAAACCATTTTTTGAAACGGAATTCCAAGCATTAGATTTCGTTTTCCTGCTGGCTTTTGCATGTATCTGTGCGTAAGCATGCTCCAGGTTGAAGAACAATGTGATTTGAAACGCTCGCACAAAACAGAGAAGCAATAAAAAAGCCACACGACGGGGCGATCCATGAATGAATTAGCAAGACAAACCATCAGCACCGTCAGCAGGATCAAGCCCGCGCGTGACGTTTTTTATTCGCAATAATTGATGAATATTGTAAAATATCTTTTTGTATATCAATTCGAAATATTTTGCGAAAATGATCGATAATTAGATAATTCCATGAACTTCGGCAGAACTTCGCTGAACTTAGGCAGGACTTCGCTGAACTTCAGCAGGAGTTCCCTGCACTTTGACAGGCCTTCCCTGTACTACGGCAGGACTTTCCTGAGGTTCAGCAGGCCAGCCCATTCCCTGAACTTCATCAGGACTTCTCTTATTTCCAAGATTTGAAATTCCCTGCACTTCAGCAGTCTTTCCCTGAACTTCAGCAGAACTTCCCTGAATTTCGGCAGAACTGCTCTGAGCTTCGACAGGACTTCGTTGAACTTCAGTAGGAGTTCCCTGAACTTTGGCAAGACTTCCCTGAACTGGTAGAACTTCTCTGAACTTCAGCAGGAGTTCTCTGAACTTCGGCAAGATATTTTTTTATATAGCTTTCTCAATCTAGGGTAGTCCAATAGTCCGTTTTGCATTTCCCTGTTTGGATTACCCTAGACTGAGAAAGCCATATAAAAGAAATCTCCATACGTAACAGTCAAAAAATCTAATACATCACTTCGGCAGGATTTCTCTGAACATTGGTAGGACATCCCTGAAGTTCGGCAAAACTTCCCTGAACTTCGACACAACTTCTCTAAAATTTCGCAGGACTTCCCTGAACTTCGGACTTGACATCAGGACTTGACTGAAGTTCGGCAGGCCTTCCCTGAACTACGGCAAGACTTCCCCGAGCATTAGCAGGACTTCCCTGAACTTGGAATCTTTGAATTGAAGTTATCATTTCAGCAGTAGAATTATTATAATTATACAATAATATTGTGTTTACAAATTCGGTCAAAATTTCGATACTTCTCATTTTCCTAATTTGCGGTGCAAACCGAGTATTGTGGCGTACTATTTTTGATTATGTCTTATCTTAAATGTGATGTTGTACAAATAAATGTATGTATGTACATACCGAGATCTTTCTTTGATTGTTCATGAATTTTGCTAGTCATTGAAATGCTCGGATTAATAAACCGTTTCGACTGCCTAGCAATGAGAGTGTTGTTCCAATTGGTCTCCACTTTCATTTTTCCCATTTCTTGAACTCCATTCTAAGTGAGCAACCAGAAACTCCACAGAATGGTTCTGGTCCTATAAATTGTTGAGATCATCCAAGCCTAGCTGTGTCGGCTTTCTCATTCCCATGAATTCCGCAGTGACCAGGAACCCAAAATAGATTCACTTGGTTTTGGCAACCCAATTTTTGGAGGCAACATATTGGGGGTGCAATTTCAAAAAAACCAAAACCGAACGCATGAAGAAAATAGGTCAGGTTTTGACCACATATAACTCTGTCAATAGCAAATGAATTTTAATTCTAAACAAGCCAAAGAATTGGGAATTTATCTACCAATCTGCTAAATTCAACACTTTATTAATTTTCAATCAGTGGCGTCGCGTCCACATGTGCAATTTGTGTAAATAATTAAAAAAAAATGCGTTTAGATTTTTCATAGATGTTATGGTAACATTATAGCTGTACTTCTTTATTCCAGACCACAAGTGACCATGAATACACTATTTTATAGTGTGGTTCAATTAAATCTTCGACCTTGGTTTGCTTCAAAAAGGAATAAATTTCGTTCGTCTGCCTCATCCCTACATGACAAAACTCCTTAAATACCGCACCTAAAAGCGAGTTTTTTTGGGTCGCGGGTGGTAAATTTGTGAATGGTCAGTTATCGCTCAGCTTCTGAGTCGTGCAGACGTTTTTTTTTTTTCGATTGCGCTTATCACAAGTGAAGCATTTACGGTTGGATATTTGTCTACTTCGGTGTGCCGCGTCGCGTGGTAAAGTGTTGCGCGATGAGGCGAGAAAACACTTTTAAAAT